GAGAACACAACACCATGAATGTTTCACCAAGCAAGCATTTAACAATAATCGTCCTATCTTCTAATCAAATTCCAGCCCATCAACACTTATTTCTTGTACCCAGATATCACGGTCTCTTCTGATATCAGCTAAACATTGATGCACACTTATTGTATACTTATCATTAACTTATCATTAACTTATCATTATTAACTTATCATTAACTTATGATTAACTTTTCCCATAGTTCCTCCTGAATCAGTCACTCATCACTCATATTCAGAAATGAAGTAACCAATTCAAAGTAACAATCAAAAACTTTAGTTATTTCCAATCAATAAATTGCTTTTTTTTATTCAGCCACGAATAACAAATAAAAAGGATAATACAAGTTATCAAAAGTACATTTAAGCAAATTAAGATTTTCCTATAATAAAAAAAAAAATACCTGCAACCCTTTTCCGTTTAGAATTCGAAGAATGATCTCTGTGAAAACTTCCCTCTCCAGCTAAAATGTCTGTAAAGGGAAAACAGAGTTGAACTGAAATTGAAAAGTACAATAAACTTCACAAATATCTAATAGCCAAGAAATAACAATTGAAAAGAGCATTGGAGGACGACAAAAATCTTTTGAGAGATACAATATTTAAATAATATTTAGATAATAATAATACCTTCAACTTTTCTGCGTTTGTTTGAAGAATCATCACTGTTGCAACTTCCCTCTCTGGCTGAAATGTCTGTAAGGGGAAATAAAGGTAAATAAGTGTTGAAAAGAAAACAAATGTTTTTCATCATATTTAACATAATCAAGCAGCCATTTCACCATTAATTCTAACTATCTTATTGGCAGATAAATAGATGTCTCTTACTAAGATAACCTATCAAGTGACAAGATGTCTTAGAAACACAACCGCAACTGTTACAAAAATGCACATGCACCTCCGTAATTAGGCCAGTCTCCAAATACTGAAGGGTTACTCAACATGTCGGATACAACAGAAGCCGCCATAGCACAAGCAAAAGTCTTCCATGAATCGTTTGTAGATCCACTGCCATGTACAAAATCACAAACACCTTTAACAACAACCCACTCCGTCTTTGTGTCATGGGCTGCTGCAAACAGGCCTGAGGAAGAAAGATAAAACAGAGAAACAATTATAACAATTTGAATGGATAATTACCTAATGATAATCATCAAAGTAAGCAAAACACTTCTTTTCACATTCCTTTGGCACTGGAGGATGTTTTAGGAATGTGGTGTTTTTGGATCCTTTCATGTAATATTGGGTGGGTCAGCCTTGTCTGAGTAACCCTGGCTGACTCATTAAACAGGATAAAAAACACATTCTGGTTTATGGCAAACTAATCTTGAGTTGGATGAACACAGATGCCCCACCAAAGTAACGCTGATAATAATTCTCACCTTTTCCCCCTATTTCAACTGCAATTGCCCCAGGGTGTGATTGACACTGCTGTTCAGCACCATTTAGATCAGAACAACTTAAAAACTCTCCGTTGCAATTTACTTTGACTTCATGTGCCTGTGGGTTTTCTAATGGTGCCCTCCATCCATCAGCTGCACTTCTGACAAGGTTACCAACATCTCTACTCACTGGGGTTTGGTGACAATGTGTTGTGAGTTTTGAGGATATCACCACATCTCCTAGCTGGGCTTTTTCAGAACTGGTACTGTAACAGAAACCAACCAAAATGGTAGCCTTTGGTCTCAGGAGTCTGATGGCATTTGTAGCAGCAGTTTGAGAACCTCCAGGATCTGAGGATTCGTTAGAACACTTCACTAAGGCAACTTTCAGTAAAAACTCATCTTCATCTTCACCCATCTTTCCAAAGTACACATATCCAATGGATTTCTCGTAGCTTTTATATGAACCTCTCAGGTAATGATGACAAGCCAAGAACTCACAATCCTCCACAGTCAACAGCAGAATGTCAACTGGAAGATGGTCCCCACTCCAGCGTTTCCACTTCTTTGGCAGATCGCTAAGCTTCAAAGGTGAAAAACTCAGAGGTGGAGGGTTATCACTGCAGTTCATTATGCTGCTACCCTTGTCATTTTCAGATCCAGCCATAGCCTCAAACTACAGTAGGCCTGTATGCAAAATGTTTCTAAAAATGAACAAAAGAAGTAAGAAACTAATTCAAAAAGGCATTAACAAATGTTTCTTCCAAAAAAAATTTTAGCACATTTATTAATGATTCACACTTTTTCACTTTTGTCACACTTTCAAGTAGGCCCTTTGTTCAGCAAGCATAACTGTCATCAATATTGTATTCCTTTTTCTGCATTATTTTCCTTTGTTCATATCACTTGTAGAGAGCGTTTGCACATGACGTCACAAATTTCGCGGGAAAGTTGAGTCGCCATGTTGGTGTTCCACATTTTTCAACATGGCGGGATATCCTCTCTCAGATTATGCGAACACGCTCGATCCCCACGTGAAAAAACGTTATTTAGAGAAGATTTCTTGTGTTGGAATCGATCCTCTCTTGTTCTCAGACAAAAAATACGATCCAGAGTGCCTGCCTCTGGTCGAATCGATGGATTTATTGTTGTTTTTGGTG